ATCTGTAAATTTTCTCTAAGGATACGGAAACTTTTTAAAAACTTAAAGAATTTGGAGCTTACAGGTGCATTCTGAATTTAGAGCGTGCCTGTGAGCTCCTGCGTCCGCAGCCGTCGCTGCTCCCATGCAGTCCCCCGGCCACCTCCTGGTCCTGTCGCCCTCGTTGTTTGCACGCTGTCCAGGTCCTCACGTTCACGCTCCGTTTGGCCAGTCTGCCTCGCTGTCCAGTCCGCGTCCGTGTGTACATGGCACAGTGCTGCTCCCGTGCTCCCGCGGACCCTGGCTCTGGGTGCCGGTCATCGCGTGGAGCTCTGCCAGTGCCCGCCCAGTTCTTGGTCCCCTTACTCTGCACTGACGGGCTTGTTGCTGCCCATCTTTTCACGTCACTTTTCTCCGAATGCTCTTCCCTTTCTAAGCTGGCCAGTTCTTCTGTGTCAGGGACTCTCTTTCTGTCTCCCTTTCGACCCCCGTCCCCAGGGATGCGCGGCTCCTGTGGTCCCGCACTGTCGGGGTCGTCCGAGTCCTTCCTGGGAGCTTTCTTCTTCCCTTGGCCATGACTTTTCCAGGATGAGGCATGAGGTTGGGCCTCTTTCCTTGTCGTGTTGCTACTGGAGAGTCCCTCACTGCCCCCAGCCCCTTATTGTTGTGTTAGGTTTTGGGGAAAAGAGATGTCTTGATCCAACTTTGTTTACCCTCTCTGCCCCAGTGGTTTGGAAAGTTCTTACTGTCCTCTTGACCTTAACGTCATCCTCCTTGTATACCGTACACAGTAGTGTGTGGCTGGGAAATGAAACGTTCCTCTCCTGGTGATGGTCCTTGAGGAAAGACAGAGAGAGAGTCTGATGCAGCTTACAGCTCAGGGTAGAAAGAGGCTGGGGTTAGGGACCCACCTTCCAGGGCTGGGGGCGCCCGGTGACCGAGGAAAACAGGACTGACTGAGGAGATGGACCTGAGAGCAGTGAAGGCATGGGGCCATGAGAATCTGCGGGAAGAACAAGTGCAAAGGCCCTGAGGCCTGAGAATGGAAGGAGGTCAGCCTCCCAGAGCAAAGCAAGGCAAGGAGAGGGCAGAGAGGTCACGAGTTCAGGCCATGAGGGAGGCAGGAATGCATTGCAGGGTTGAGCCATTAGGTTTTCTGAGGGTTGCTCTGGTGCAGAGTGGAGGATGGACCAGAGAGAGTCAGGGCGGGGCAGGAAGAGACAGAGGGAGCGTGGACCAGGGCCATAGCAGAGGGGCCGCAGAAGGCGAGGGGAGGTGAGTGTGCCCCTGCTTCAGGGCAGAGGCGGCAGGGGGATGGTGGTCGGATGTGGGGGAGAGAGAAGCCTCCGTGCTTTAGCCTCTGCAGGTGAGGAAGGCAAGAATGAGCTGCGGTTGGCGGAGGAGAGGAGGGGCTGCGAGTGCATGAGAGAGGGAGCAGAGAGCTGTCCGCAGTCCAGGGGCATCTGGTGCTCGTGGCGCTGCCCCGCCACAGGCCAACCGAGTCTCCAGGTTGTGGAGGGCTTCCTGGAGGCGACATCCTCGGGCTGTCTCAGGGTAGGAAAGGGACGTCCCATGTGTGGAGGTTGGGGAAGTGAGCACAAACCTGCAGGGAGGACTGGGGAGGGGTGGGCTGGAGGGGCTGTGGGGCCAGGCACACAACGTGCTCTGGAGGAGCTGGCGGTCAGCCAGGCAGACCTGCCCACGAGTGGAAGAAATGCTGCCCAGGGAATGGCCTGGGACGGGCATCGTGGCGGTCACCGTGGCCACAGTGACCCGACAAGCAGGGGGCGGCCAGGGCTCCTGAGAACCTCGTCCCTTTTCAGTAGATTTCTTCTCTTCCTTCCTCTAAGTGTTTTTGGCTCCTCTGTCGTTTATTTAGATCTGCAGTTTAATTATTCCCCAGCCTTTGAGTGGCCTCTTTCTAAACAGTAAACAAATACAGACGTATCTTTGTTTAAAGCACTTTTATTAGGACTGTTTGGTTTTATTGTTTCAGTGGATCCCCAGTCAGAGTGGGCTGAAAGTCCTGTTAGTGATTTAGATGAGAGAGTGACCAAGAATTGGGCTAGAGGAACGTAAAATCCCAAAGCCACTTCCAGACTGTGACCGACTGTGTCCCACTGTTGGCTTCCACATGTGCGTCTGCTGGCCTCCAGAGGGTCAGCCGGGCGGACGGCCTCCAGCGGGCGCCCAGGGCTGTGCCTGCCCCAGGCGACGTGGGCCAGGCTGTGAGACGGGCCGTGCAGGCTCTCGGCAGCCTCGCTCGAGGTCCTGATCCATTTTGCAAACGGGACAGGGAGCTGTCATTACTCACGGCGGCTAGAGCTGGATGTGGGGCTGAAGGCCATGTGAGCAGATCAGAGGGACACGTGCTGGTCAGTGTGAATTGACGGCTTCTTGGCGGCATCAGAGCCAGGCTGTCCTCACTTGGGCCTTGCGACCATTGTCCCTCCTTTCCTTCCCAGGCGGTGGTGCGGGTCGGTGACAGCAGGGAGAGCAGGCCCGTGCAGTGGTGGTTTTGGGTTGGCAGGCTGCTGGCCTCAGAGGCTCTGGCTCCCTGCTGCGGGCTGTGGTCTCCATTGCTCCAAGGCTGGGCCTGGGCAGGGGGGGTGGCCGTGGCAGGCGGTGGCGGGGGTGTTTGCACACGTGGGTGTGTGCCTGCTTGTGCTGGGGGCATGTTGTAGAAGGCCCGACTCAGGGGTTCTGCTTGCCAGAGGACAGTAGGAGCGGCCTGCAGGGGCGCCAGGACCGGGTGGAGGAGTGCCGTGGTGGTGCAGGGTGCTCCCTGTCGGGACCTGAACACAGGCCTGCCGTGCTGGCTGACCCACCATTTGTCGGGGTCTGTCCAGCCTCTGCACCCAGGACACAGAGGAGGGAATGCGTGTGGCTGCTGTCACAAGGACACACAGGCACACTAAGTCTTCACGCCCATCCCCGTTGTCCCTGCATTGGTCCCTGGTCATCGCAGTCCAGGGTCACGCAGGGAGGCAGGCATTACCACCTACGTGTTCTCGTGCGAGTGGGAGGCAGGAGACGGGGCTGGCACAGAGGAGCCGGGTGCTGGGCGGGCCCATGGGGAGCAAGCTCCAGAGGTGACTGCTGATGCCGCCTGAGTCGGCTTTGCCTCATCCCTGAGCGCGGCGGGCGCAGTGTATTCTCACCTGCCCCTGCAGCCCCGTCGTGGGCCCACCTTGCCACACTCACGTGGCTGGGGCTCCCGGAGCACAGCAGGACAGGAAGTCACGGTCCGCCCTCCTGCGGGCTGCTTCTGGGACTTCCTGTTCAGGGCTGAATAGTGTTCGTTGTCTGGATAGACCACAGTTTGTCCACTCACCCAGGGGTGGGCATCCGGACTGTTTCCCTCTCGGCTCCTGAGACTGTGGGCGTTCGTGTACAGCTTCTGTGTGGACGTGTTTCCGTTTCTCCGGGGCTCACACCTGGGAGGGGAGCTGCGGGGTCGTGTGGTGACTCCGTGTTTAGCATTTTAAGGACCGTTCCACAGAGGCTGCAGCGTTACATCCCTCAGCCTGTCTCAGGGCTCCAGTTTCTCCACATCCTCGCCAGACTTGCTGGCATTCTCCTGGATTTCAGCCGTCCGCATGGGTGTGCAGTGGTATCTCTCTGTGGCTTGATTTGTGTTTCCCTGACAGCTAACAATGTTCAGCATCTTTCCGTGTGCTTATTGGTCATTCTGTTCACACGCTCTGCCCAGTTTTAATTGGTCACTTGTCTTTTGTGGCCATCTCTTCTTTGCTCACCTGGGAGGGTGATGGGGTGGGTGCAGCACCCCCCTCCAGTGAGCGGGAGGTGGGCCGGGGCCCGCTGGGTGGGGGTGGCCTGCACTGGGCCTGGCTCCCGAACTCGGTCTTGGTGAGCGGAAGGCCCCACAGCTGGCTGGACCCTGGCCTCCATCTCTGTGGGTGGATCTCCAGGGTCCTCCACTCTCTCCTATGGTCTGTAGGCTCTTGTTTCACAGCGGGGTTTTTTTCTTCCTTCGTTAATTTATTTGAAGTTCAGTCTTCCTGCTCATCAGGCCACTGAGAAGTGTCAGCTGACACAAGGCCTAAGCGCCTGTGGGCGGCCTCCCGATGCTGCTGCCCTGCGGCCTGTGGGTGGTGCCTTCGCCGCCGTGCTCAGCCTGGTCCCCGGGCTCCACGCCACGGCGTCGGAGCTCTGCTCTGGTCGGGCCTGTGGTCTGAGCAGGGGCCTGAGTCCCAAGGGGCGCTGGCTGGTTTTGTTTTGGGTCATGGTGAAGACACACAACGCTGGATCTGTCATTCTTACAGTTTTCAAGTGTGCAGTGAGGCGCGTGAGCGCAGGCCCCAGGGTTCTCACCTCCAGGTCTGACGCTGCACCCATCGCACTTGAGTCCGGCTGCGGGGCCCTCGTTTTAAAGCGTGCTCTTCCTGAGCAGTCCCATGTCCATGTCCAGGGCTGCGGTTTCCTCTTGGCGCCTCGTCCACGGCTGGGTTTGGTGGGGCCGTGCGCCCCCTTGGCCGGCTGTCTGGTGGTCCAGGACCCCCAGCAGGGATGCATGTGAAGACATCTCATTTCTTGCTTTGTGGGCTCTTTGCTGGCTCTTCCTGGGCGTCCAGAACATCCTCTCTGCTCTGCCTGGTTCTTGAAGCCAGCCCTGAGGTGGCAGCGCGCACAGTCCCGCCATGGCCGTGTGGACGAAGGCTGCTCCTTGGCCAGCTGGCTGGGTCTGCCCTCCGCCATCCTGCAGCAGACACCCCGCCTGAGCTCCTCCCTGTGACCGCCGTGGGGGACTGGGCAGGGCTGCAGGTTGAGCATGGATGCCGGGCGCTGTGGGGCCTGCCCTTTGGCGGGCGAGGTTTGCAGGGGAGGCTGCAGATCAGGCCCTCCATGCAGAGCGGGGTCCCCTCATGTGGAGGGAGAGGCTCCCCGTGCAGAGTGGGGTGACCCCCTTGTGTGCACACCCCAGCTCCCACAACGATCAGGTGTGTTTGGTGCTGTGTCAATGGTCATCTGACTGTCTTTTCTTTCTTCTTAATTTACAGCCAGAAAACCTGCAGAAGAACTGGCTTCGGGAATTTTATCAGGTAAGAACTGCTTGAGCCAGCGTGTTCTTTGAGCTGGATTGCTTATGCGATAATATTTATTCCTGTGGAAATCCCGTCTTGTCTGTGCAGCATGCAGACTGGCACTGTCACGGTGCCGACTGTAACAGGTGTCACATTTCTACTTCACCCTCAGTCGAGTTCCTCCTTCAGGTCCCTTTTCAGGCTCCCCTCCTTTCGGCTGGGATTCCGGGAACCTGTCGAGAGGGTCCTGTGGTCGCAGTGTGAAGGTGGTCAGGCCACGCAGAGGGGCTGCTGTGCACTCTGGCAGGACGTGTGGGTGACTGGGCCAGGGGAGGTGCCGTCAGGATGAGGTGCAGACTCCAGCGTGTCTGAGCAGATGTTGAGTGAGCCCCTGGGTCGAGGTGGGTTCTGCTCTGGGTGCTGGGGTGCAGCTCTGAGAGGCGGATGGAGGGTGCTGCTCCCGGAGCCTGTGTTCCACGAGGAGACGCATGGTCAGCACAACCAAGACCAGCTCAGGACCTGCAAGGCTGTAGCCTGGGTCCAGGTTGTGCGTGTGTGTATGCGTGCATGTTGGACCCCAGGTAGGGTGTTTGAGAGGCCACTCTGAGGAGGGGATGTTTAGACTGAGGCCTGGTGGATGGGAAGGGCTGAGCAGCCAAGGGCATCCAATTTGGCCGGGGTGGCCGGGTGGCTGTGGGCTATCAGGAGGCGAGTGTGGCCGCAGCCCAGAGGGTAGTGCAGGGTAGAGACAGCGTGGGGTGAGGCAGGGCCCGGCCACCAAGGCCCTTGCGACAGTGGGGGAAGGGCTGTGGGGAACTGTGCCTCTGCGTCCTCCTTGTCCCCCCTGCGTCCCACCGTCCCCCTTGCACCCCTCTCGCCCTGTCCTCCTGCAGCTCTGCTGAGCCCAGCAGATGTGTTTTGTGAGCAGGAGGCAGTAGCAGATATTGGGAAGTGGCCTCTGGGCCTCCCTTCCTCCCGACCTCAGGGCCTGGTGGGTTGAGACCCAAGGGGCTGAGGGGGTGGCACTGTGGTGGGTACACTTTGGGTGGTGCTGTGTCCTGACTGTCCCCTGAAAGGTGCTGGCTCTGGGCTAGGGAACCTGAGCACAGGTGGATGAAAATGGGCCAGTGAGCTGCTTGGGCTCCTGCAGTCCACGCTGGGCATTGAGGGGCCACCATGTCTTGGGTCTACCGGTGCTGAGCCATCCATGTCCTACTAGATGCTCAGGGCCAGTGGTAGGGCGATGGCGGGTCCTGCTCCCGTTCTGGAGATGACAGTGGGACCTGGAGGGGAGAGCCGTGGGGCAGGCCTTCCTGTCCCTCACCGGAAGGTGTCCGCCTGGGGTGTTTGGAGGTGGTGTCCTCCCCTCCCCGTCCAACATGGACTGTCTGCCAGGCATCCTGCCAGGTTCTTGGCTGGGATGAAAGGCCTAGGAGGAGGAGGCATCAGGAAGGTTCTGGAAGGAGCATCCTTTGGGATAGGGCAGGCAAGAGGTCATCAGAGGGAGGGTCTCTGGCAGTAGGGTGGGGCTCGGTTCCACATCACTGGTGGGTTCTGAGCCCTTGCTCCCCACATGCTGCCCTGCCCAGTAGAAACCTGACGTCAGGGACCCCTGGCTGAAGCCCAGGCTGGCGGAGCTATGGTGTATCAGCTCCACGAGTGCAGCTTGCCAGCGGGGGGAGGGCGAGGTTCCCCTCCTGGTGCCTTCGGGGGTCAGATGCGCTCTGGGGCTCCCTCTTCCCGCGGCCATGGAGTGAGAGGCCCCATGTCTGGCTGGAGCCCCGTCCAGCTCTCTCCGTGTCTGTGTTGGTTTTGGCCAGAACAGCTGCGGTGTGAATTTGCAGCTTTTGTTTGTTTGTTTGCTTTTCAAAGCAGGGCCTGGGAGGGTGTGTGCTGAGCACGAGTCTGAGATTCGTCGGGGACACACCTGGAGGGGCGAGTGGGCAGCTGGCCTGGCTCCGGGCTGGGAGGGGTCCTGGCAGTGAGGGTCCCAAGGGAGCATGCATGAAGCCTGCCCATGTGGGGGGGCCGTCCTCGGTGACGGGGGCAGTTGTGGGGAGCAGGCAATGAGACCCCGACTTGGCAGGCCCTGTTCTGGGTCTCAGAGCACACTCCCACCTTCCTCTCCTTCGACTTTGCCGAGGACTAGAGTCACTGGTGTGTTTCCGACGGTCGGGTAGCCAGTGGTCTGAGAATGAGTCAGAGCACGGCGGCTCTACTCTTTGTGAACTTGGACCCCCGGAAAACCAGCCCACAGCCATGTCCCTCCTTTCTGAGCCTCCTCGCTGCACACGTGCGTGTCGGGCTGTTTCTGGAACCCAGAACCCGACAGGGCAGGCAGCTGGCACTTTGCTTGAGGCCCGTTTCCAGAGCACCTGGTGTCCTTCCTGGAGCGCTAAGCCTTTACAAAGAGAAGAGGAGACAGCACGATGGGTGCTTTGTGACGGATGCGGCTTTTCCTGGTTCGTAAGCAGAAGCCTCTTTGGAAGGAAGAAATTTCAGTGACACTTAGAGAATTTTCAGTGACAATTCATTAAGAGTAAGATTTGAACACAGTTGCCCCTCCGACACTTTTTTGGGCTGACTTGCTGGATGAGGTGATCATCCGGCTGACCGTGGCTCAACGGCTGGCCTGAGTGGAGAGCGAGTGGGCGCCGCCCCGAGCAAGGGCTGACGTAACCGCCTCTGACCACTGCTCGCCGGGCCCATGGCCCAGGGGCGCTGAGCGGCTGCTGCTATCCTTTTCTTTTCTTTTCTTTTTTAATCCTAGTTTCTATTATGCAGTTATTTTATTTTTCAGAGTCGCCTTTAACACACTGCCTTTATAAACAGAATTGAGTATGAGCTTCATGCTCCTTAGAACCCTTGGAATAACTTTTGTTTCCTGTAAACTTGATCACTGTGAAAACGCAGGAGGCAGGAGGAAACGTTTTCGTTTCCATCGTTAGTCCTGATGAGCTCTGAGGCCTTCTCACGTGTTCTGTCCTGGTGTCAGGCCGGGTGGTCAGCCTTGCAGAAGATGCAGATCCTGGTGTCACCCCAGCTGGCGCCCCTGTCCTGTCCTGCCCTCCCGTCCCAGCTCTGACCTCTTCCAAGTGTCAGGCTCCTGGACCCATCGCCATGACCCCACGGTCTTCCGTGTGTTGGGGTGCCCAGGCCCCAAGTGCAGGATCGGGCCCGCCTCTCACCCGCCAGGCCACCAGCACAGCTCGTGCGCCCTCTTCACAGCCCATCCAGGACCTCCCCGGGGCCCGGCCACGTTGCCAGGCCCTTCTCCGGCAGTAGCAGCCGCTCTCTGGAAACGGGACTCAGGTCGTGTTGCTCTCCTGCTCCCTGTCTCAGGTGTGCGAGCTGGGGTCTGTGGGCCTGCCTGCCTGCCCACTGCCTCCCTCTGGCTCTGCTTTGTCCCTCTGGCCATCCTGCGTCCCCAGACATACTTGGTGTTTCGGGCCTTGGCGCTTGCTCTTCCCTGGATGTGCCCTCCGTCCGTGTCCTTGTCCTTGCTGCCCCTTGGGGAGGCCCCTCCTGGTCACCCTCTTGGCCTCCCCCCAGGTCTTAGTGTGCTTCATGGCTTCATCTCGCTCTGAGCTTGCATTCGGTACTGGTGGTTACTTACTTACTTCTCTCTCCCACTGGAAGCACAAGCTGCACACCTGTGGGACTGAATCTTGTGTCCCCGAAGTCCGTATGCTGGAGCCTCATCCCCAGCGTGGTGGTATTGGAGGTGGCACCTGTGAAGGTCACCAGGTTCAGAAGAGGTGATGAGGCTGGGGCCCATGATGGGATGAGTGCCCTTATCTGCAGAGGAAGGGGCCGTGGCTTGGGAAGTGCCAGCTGCCTTTCCAGGTGCTGGGGGCCAGCAGTGCAAGGGCCAGATGCCCCTGCCCTCAGGAGCTTCCACTGCACTGCGGAGACGCCGGACACACCCAGCGTGGCCCAGGGGCTGGCACTGGGAAGGAGGCAAGCCATGGGCGGCTGGGGTGCAGGGCCCTTTCATGGGGTCCCCAGGACAGCTCTCGGGGAGGCCGCAGCAAGGCCCGAAGGCAGGGTGGGAGCAGCCATTCTGCTTCGGTTGGTCATGTCTAACCTTAGTTCCTCAAACTGCGGGCAAGGTTCTAGGAAGTTAATTTGAACCTTTTCCCCATTTACAAAGGTGGTGTGTTGCCTGTCAGCTCTTGGGGCAGGGACCTGTCTTGCTCATTGCCGAATGCTGAGCACCCAGGAGTGTCTGACGCGTGGCTGTGCTTAGCGGTTCTTTGTTGAATAATACTCGGGAAATTACACAAAGCAGAAAAGTATTTATAAATGAATCTCCCCCACGCTGTCCTGCCTTTAGTTTGAGGAGTGCACCCGCGTGTCTGGCCGTCTGCGTGGATGGAGGAAAAGGTAATTCTTCCTTAGCCGGTCACAGATAAGTGTCGTTTTGCAGCTTACTCTTCTTTTGGTAGACCGGAAAATCTTTCTGTATAAATTAATATAAGCTATCTGTTTTAATGGCTTCAGAGTATTTCATTAAATGGGTAGGCCGTCATTTTTCTCTGGATGGACTCTTAGGTTGTTTCCAGTTTGTTTGTAGTCATGCTGTGGATAAATTTAAAAACAGATATAGTGTTGGCTCACACGCAAATATAAAATAAGCAAGCATCGAAGATTGTTTGGTGAGATAAATATTTTTGTTTATTAACGAGAGAACCAATAAGTTAGAATTGGTTCAAAGAAGAAAACAAACGGCAAACAAATGGATTCTCCCCTCAGCAGTGCTGTGTGCGTTTGCATAATAGATGTAAACCTGGCCAATAATCAGTTGCATTCCACCGACACTGAGCTTCCCTGTGGTCAAGGACCATTTGCATCGCTATCTGTTTTTAGAATTCACAGAATTGTGGAATAGCTCTGCGATAGCTCTGCGATAAGTGGAGGTAGAAATCACCCACATTGGTGAGCCTAAGTGGAGGTAGAAATCACCCACATTGGTGAGCCGAACAGGCACTTTCTAGTCTTTTTTGCTCATTTTAAAG